AAAAAAAAAAAAAAGAAGAAGAAGAAGACTATCTTAAGACACACACACACACACACACACACACACACACACACACACACACGACAGGGTCTTGCTAAATTACCTAGGCTTAGTTCAGACCTCAGTTCAGACCTGAAGCTCTTTGTCTCAGCCTCCCAAAGTGTTGGAATTGCTATGGGATCTCCAAATGATATACAGGAAATATAACTCCCAACCTGCTAGATGTCAGATATTCTGTGTTTGTAATCCCCAAATTGAAGAACAAATTCTTTTTTTTAACTAATTTTTAAAATAATGTCTTTTATTTTATTTTATTTATTTTTGTGTCCAACTCAGCCCACCCGGGGAGCAAGGCTGGCGCAGCATGTGGTGCCGGGGATCAAACCACAGTCCCTAGGCTTGCCTAAGCTTGCCTAAGCAGGCGCTTTAGACCGCTGAACTATCCTGCTGGCCCCTGAAGAATGAATTCTAAGGAACAACAGAGGTTTAGAGTAGGCAATTTTATTGAGGGAAAGACAGCTCTAAAGAGAGACAAGATGGGGCCTCGGTTGGTTGCTGTGGACTCCACTTTCCAGAGGAAGTTTCACAGAGCAAAATCACAAGGTGGGTGCAAAATTACAAGTTGGGTACAACATGGGACAAAACTAAGAACAACCAATAAGACTACAAGTATAGCCACGTAGGTAATATTGATCCAAATAGGAAGCAAGTCACATAGCAAATGTACATGGAAAGAATGAGGACCCTTTTTTGGAAAAGATAAGTCAGAAGGTCCTGATCACCTACTTGGATGACTGATGTCTATCTAGACTTTATTGGAACAGGTAATACAAATTGTATTATATTTTTTATCCATTGGGGAGGCACATAGGCCTGGTCATTCCCTCTTTATCTTATGGCCTGGCTCTCAATGAATGTGCCTCCAGCCACAATTGTAATTTTTTTTTTCATCCTCTGCACTAACTCCCTCAAGGGCCTGACTCTGTCTGACTGCCTATATTTCTAGCTAACTTATCTGTCTATAATAGGATCACAAGCACGTGTCACTATGCCTGGTTTCTAATACCTCTTGGCCTTGTACTCACTCCATGGGACAGACAGAGCTGGTTGCCTTCCCAATGCCCATTTTGTTTTGTTTGGAGCATTGTCCAAACGTATTAACTTTCTCAGATCCCCTAAGAGTGTGTAGTATCTATAAGGATACGTTTGTGACCCATGAAACTAATGCTGAGGCCTTCTGGAAAAGTTTGTATTCCCTGGAGAGGTATTTAAGGAGGGCTCATAAAGACAGAAGTAGTTTGGGGAGATGGCTCAGTGGATTAAGTGCTTCCCTGGCAAACGCAAGGGTCTGAGCTCAATCCCCAGTTCTGCCACCAAAAAAAAAAAAAAAAAAAGACAGAGAGACCTTATCACAAGGAAAAAATAGCTTCCAGGACAGTTTTTGCACAGTTGTTCATGATACAAATCCTAATGGATGCCATGGTTTCTAGCAACATAACTCCTAACCCCCACTATCCTGTACTTATATTCCTGGTTCCATACTCAAAGGATTCATTCCATTTCTGCCCTCTTTGAAACCAAGTAACAGATAATGTTCTATGAATCTTCCCAGGAAGCCCAGGATAGACCTGCTCCCTACGGTTGGCAAAGGGAAACTCCATCTCTTGGGACCTTTTCCTTGACCCTTGAAAGTGAGGCCTCTTATTGTTGTGAAAAAGAGAAAGGGAAGACGTCCTGATGATTCCACCCTGGATGAGGATGATCCTCCCTAGAATGACAGTCTTGGACTACAATTCAGGGCAGAAGCTCCTCAAAGAGCTTCACCTGAAGTTAGAGATA